CCTGCGGGAGTTCGTTCCGGCGACTCTGGTTATAACCCCGGAGCTGTTCCAGGAGCCAGGCTGCAGGCCTGGCCTGCTGTAGGTATAAGGCCATTCATATTAACAGTATTTCCAGAAAGAAAATAATTATGCCTTTCATTCCCATGGGTTTGAATATAATCAAAGTAATCCTCATTCTTTTGATCTGATGCCCTGCTTTTTATCCCCCAGTTTCCTGTTAGGTAAAAATGAAGACCAAAAAAGGAGAGAGATTCAAATCTTCCTTTAAATTGAAACAGAAAGGCATTGAAGTCATTGGAAAATGGAAAACTGTGCAAATCGACCCCAATTTATTTGCTGATGAGGATTTTGGAGATATAGTATGCCTGGAGGAACTTACAGAGTACAAACCAGTAAGTTCTTCCGAAGTGGGGAAAGTAAAAGAAAAGAAGAGAAAGGCTGAGAGTGTTTCAGAAGAAGAGAATGAGGAGGAAGAACCTGGCATCCCTCCCAAAAAGAAAAAGAAAAGCAAAGACATGAGAAGCAAAACAGATAAAAACAGTGAGCATCAAGAAATTGATGTGGTGGTTGACAAAGAGGCAGAGTCTAACAAAATAATCGAAGCAGCAAATTGTGAGAACCATGGACATGTGGCTGAGAGCACTTCAAGCACAAAGGATGCTCCGGAGAAAAAGAAGGTGACTAAAAATAAAGCTTCTCAAGCTCAAGAAGCTCTTCCGTCAGTAACTGCTTCTAAAAAAGTGAAAAACTGGACAACAGAAGTTTTATCCGCCTCAGCTGATCACAAAGCTGATGTGTCTGCGTGGAAAGACCTGTTTGTCCCTGAACCAGTGTTGCGGGCCTTGAGCTACCTGGGCTTTAGTGCTCCGACTCCTATTCAAGCCTTAGCCTTGCCCTCTGCCATCCGGGATAACATGGATGTTCTTGGTGCTGCAGAGACAGGTACAAATCTGTTAAAACTGGTTGTATATACTGGGAGCTTCCCATCTCCCCTCTTTGAATGCAGCTCGTTACGAATTTTTATATGTAGCAGAAGAAGCATTTATGTGTAGGAGAAGAGCTGGTATATTCCTCATATCCAGTACATTAGTAATGATTCATTGGGAAGCATTAAAACTTTGTAACTTACCAACAGTGTGCAAAGCTATGAAGTCTCAATGAGTTTTTATGCGTTTGACAGAAGTCTGTTTTTCTGGTGTTTCTCAAATTGTTTCCTATTTTAGGAACCGTAAGGCGATACACTGCAAAGGGCAGAGTTACTGAAACCAACAGAGTCACGTTCCAGCAGCTGGACTGCTGTGGATGTCCCCGTGCCAGGGCAAAGCAGAGAGCTAGGTTCCTCTGAAGATGATTCAGTACTAGCTTGGAGCAGTAAATAAATATTAGGCACAGTGTTAGGCATTGTGGTTATGGTCTTTTATCATAGCGAGACAGGCCCACGCTGTGCACTGTCTCTGGGATTGCTTGTACATTGTGACCAGCCCTTCTCACTGCTTGTGCTTGAAGTATTACATTGATCCATTAACTAGAGAGGTGCTGTCTCTTGTCCAGCTTGTGATCAGCTCGTGACTTTGTCTTTGAGCATTGGTAGCCTTCGGAAAATTTGTTATAGCTTCTTCTTTACTTACATAGTGCTGCGGAGTCTCAGAGCAATACTTTCTCTTTACCTGTTTTTTGCTGCTCATATGTTTGAAGTTTTGTGTTTAGCAGTGCAGCATTTTTTTTCCCCATAAAAACTAAAAATAGGAAGCACAATTGAAAGCTGCATTGGTTTAAAGGTTTCTTTTGCATTCTTTTCATCTGTTCCAGTTGCTTTATCTCACTGCTTGTCTTGTAAAGCCATTTACTGCTCACGAGCATGAAGGTATAGTAACTAATAAGATACGCAGTTGTTTGCATTTTTATTTTAATTGGAAGCTAGGCTGGTGCTATTAGCTTTAATAAGATTAGAAGGCCCTGTGGGGAGTGTTTTGAAAATGGAACTGAAAATTTAAATGGTGTCTTTGTGCTGCAAAAAAGCACTATTTTGGCTGGAAAGCAAATCCCTCTCTAGCTACAGAATGGAAAGCATGGTTGGTGGCAGGTTGTGTTGTTGCTGTCTAATTTTGCATAACCCTGAGGCAGTAGGACTGCGTTTTGCTCATTTATTTTCTTCTTTCTTGATAGAAAGCCAGGTTCTCTCCAGAAAACCCAGTGGGTCATTGGTGTTCCTGTAGAAACATGAGAGAAGATGTGGGCAGTTGTCTGTTAGGAAGTGCTGCAGCTGGGAGAGGCTGAAACTCTCTAGTTCTTTTTTCTACATCTTACAGCTTCCATTGGCATTTGGCCTGAGATGAAGGTGACAGGTGAAAGAACTGTTCACCTTCCCTTTTGGTAGCAACATAGGGAAGAATGGCAAGATTTTGATATGGCAGTAGATCCCTGTGGAGATCAGATGCAGGGGATGTCAAGGCTTGTTGTTTCTGTAGTGGATCTAACCAGTTCTGGAACTAGTGATTTTTTTTGTTAAGGAAACGGATTTTATATCTGTAAAAGCTTACAATCTAAAACCATTTAGAAGAGTTTGAATTGGCTTGAGCTGGAGTATCTGGGGGTACCAAGATGCACTTTTCTCCTGGGTTTGCAGGCCTGGCTATGGTCTGTGATCTGTGTATTGTGAAGATAACGTGCCCTGTGAGGTGATTATTGGTTTAATTTGTGGGTGAATCTAGTGCCTACAGTACAGTCCTGATTATCACAGCAGTAATCTAGCTGGGTGCAGTACTGACATTTGCACCAGCCAAATTGCATTACATTTAATTCAGGATCAGCAGTGTTCTTCACCTTAAAAACGGATGTTCTGGTAATGAAGAATCTTGTTGTATAAGTGTTCTGCAAGTGCACACTATAAACAGTTTGTGCTTTGAGTGCAGAAGTCATGAGACCTCCCAGACATGCAGAAAGCTGGGGAAGCGTGTGCGAGGACACTTTGTAGCAGTATTGGTCAGGATAATGATGCTGGGCTTAACTGTTTATTAACTAATACTAAGGTTCTCCCCTAAATAGGCAAAATTCTGTGTTGCTGAATTTGGCAGACCCTAATGGGTTTGTAATACGGACAAACAGTGCTCAAGGAATCGAGATGAGATTGCCAGAGGACTGCTTCCCAGCAGTGGCTTATTACAGGAATGGCAGAGTAGCGTCTTGTGCTCTGGATGCTGCTTTTGTGGTCAATGAACTGATACTTGTGAGAACCTTAGCTGGGGTGGATGTGCTGCCAGGCTTCTCCTGACATCTTTATTAGTGACAGATAGTTCAGAAGGGAATATGAGGCAGGGATGTGACTTGCAGTTTGGTAGAGTGAACCCCTGAAATTAAAGTCGGGGGGCATTTTTGTATTTAACAACTCCCTTCTCTCTAAAGTGGATTATCTGTTTTAAGTCAGATTTATGTGTTTCGATTATGAAAATGTGAGCTGGTGATAGATCAGGAAAGTAGACGGTGGAGTATTTCAAAACACAATTTCTTAGAAAGTCGTAAACACAGTACTATAAAGTGAAGATGGAAGCAGATCCTTCAAGTACATTCCAGTTTGTCCTTGGCCTCATTTGCAATTCCTTTATTTGGAGAACATTGATCAGTACTGTCAATTAGGGCATGGTATTCTCCTTACGGGGATACAGTTCTTTAAAAATATCTTGGCTGCAACTGCAGCATTTAAAAACCACTTTCAGAACAAATGAATCTACCTGACCTGCTAGAGATTGGAAAAATACCTGTTCTCCAGAAAGTATGCTATTGGTAGCCTCAAGGAGATGTATAAAGGGAACAAGAGAAAAGATGCTGCTGCTGCAAGTTTCTGGTTTCTAAAGATAAAGATTTTGTCTGTTACAACTGTATGTTTTAAGAACAGTGTGTGAATGGCTGTTGCTTTTCTCATCTTTTCAAATAAATGACTTGTCGGTCTGTATTACTCTTCTTATTTGTTTTTTTTTAGGAAGCGGCAAAACGCTTGCATTTGCAATTCCAATGATTCACTCTGTGCTGCAGTGGCAAAAATCAAATAGCTCGACAAGTAGAAATGACAGTGTTTCTAAAGAGTCCCATCAACATCGTGGTGAAACAAGATGGGAAAATGAGGATGAAGCAGAAAAACTAACCCATCAGCAGGCTGAAGATAGCGGAGATGAAGATGATGCATCTTTCACAACAGGCTGTGTGAAGGTGCTGGAAAACTTCGAATTTGATTCTGTTGACAAGGCACATGCTGTTGGCGCCCATAAAAAGAGACCTCTTTTAGGACTGGTCCTTACTCCCACAAGAGAATTAGCTGTACAAGTAAAACACCACATTGATGCAGTTGCGAGGTTTACAGGTATGTAGACCCCACGTGCCGTGTCCTGGATTACGCTGCGTTTGGATCCTGGCAGTAGTGTTGAGCCAGAATGTGTGCCACGGTTTCTTCCCCATCATAAAACTGGGGTGGCTTTTGAAGGGTTAGGCTTCGTAGTCACTAATATTCAAGAAATGCTTTAGGATTCTTCAGTGAGATGCATGTGGAAGTAAACAGTTAACGTGGGATATTTTGCTTTAAAATGTTTCTTCCTTCAAACAGCTATTGACTCATGCTTTGGCAACACAGAATCAGCACTAGATACCCAGCCACAGCTGAGTTTGTCCTGGTTTTGGATGATGTAGGTTATATATAAAAAATCATTTCATGTTATATACATATTCTGTATTTTTTTTCATAATTTCCTTTTTTGACAGGTACATCAATCGATATAGATACTAGATAGATACCATTTTGCTCTCTATATCAAAAAAAAGAAATTACGGCCATAAATTTTAAGGGTAGAATGCATTGCTAGATTGTCTGACTTACTGCAGTCAGGTCACAGCATATTGCTGGGTGACACATCTGATGAAAGCAATTCCATCCTGTTCCTTTCTATTCCAAACCAGACATCAGCACATCTGTTAGGTGAATGAGTGAGTATGTGAAACTATGCAGGATGGGGAGAACTGGGAAACAACCCCCCAGTCCTTCAGTAGTAGTAATTGTTTAGTTATTGAAGAGGATATGTAGTGTAGTGAACTGCTTTTAAGCACGTCTTCCTTTGGTGTCTATGCGTCCTGCTGTGCTCATCAGTCTACAGCTGATTACAAGGCTAATTTTAACTCCTAGCCTGAAATGGTTGATTTATGTCAGTACAGTTCTGATAGGAGCAGTGCTATTTGTATGTAAAAATCTGCTGCCCAAGTGATGTATAGTTGCTGCAGCAGGAGAGAAAATACGTTTTTTACTGTGGGCTTTCTTTATTGTCTCAAACTTACTTAGAAAAAAAATCCCACCTGGAAGCATGGGATTCCACAAGGTAGTAGGCAGGAGAGATCTCTGGTAGCTTGTATACTGGGGGAATCTTGCACAGTAGCATTGAGTTTGTCATGGGCCAGTGTATTCTTTGAAGAAGCAGGGTGAAGTAAGCCACGTGTGGAGTCTGTGTTTCCAAAGCTAAATTCTTTTTTGTACCTTAACAAACTGCTTAAAGCTAACTTAAGGTCTCTGTGCTACTGTGCAGTCCAGAGCATCATTAACTGAGAGGGAGCATTCTTGTTGGGATTGTCCCATAGCAAATGAGCAGTTATTAGCAAGACAAGCATTTCTCAGTCTTCTTTGTGGAGGGCCTGCTGGTTATTCATAACAGGAACATGCTTGCTTGTGCAGATAAAGTTGACGTAACATGAGATTCTGAACTACGGGTAGACAAAGCTTAACAGCTGTGGAGGACATAGGTGGTTCTTCCTGCTGTTGGAAGACAGGTGCACTAAAAGAAAGACTACTTTATTTTTGGTATCTAACTGTAATGAGGATTTTTCTGCAAAATTGAGGTCATTGCTGTGTTCAGTGTTATATAAACCCCCTGAAGTTTCCTGGCAAAATGCTTCCTAGAAGTTGCAGTATAGACTTTTTAAAATAATTCTTTGAGTGGCTATATGTAAAGATGTTCACTGATAAATTAGTGAGATAAAAACTATTATTTATATGTTCTAGGCATTAAGACTGCAATTCTAGTTGGAGGCATGGCTGCACAGAAGCAAGAACGTGTACTGAATCGAAAGCCAGAAATTGTAATTGCAACTCCAGGCCGTCTGTGGGAGTTAGTTAAAGAGAGACACCCACATCTTTCAAATCTTCGGCAGCTCAGGTAAAGGTGCCTTTTAGAGTAACTGCTGGATACTGAACTGGACATCACTGTGTACTGATTATGTTTACTAGCTGATTAAATAATTTAGCCTACATAAGATCACTTACTTCTTTGCCAGAGTATTTTGTTGAAATGCGTAGTGATGATATTGATGGAGGGAAATGTCAATTAAAGCCAGTAGCAAAAACTTCATTTTTCCTTCAGAAATCTGTTTTTTCAAAAAGAAATGTGGAGTGCTACTGTAGCTACCGCAGCGTAGCTGGTGTTCCTTTGGGTTTTACATGCAGAACATCCCTTAACATGTTTAGCAGGAAAGATTCTTTTGAAGTGTATCGGATTTGTATTTATCTGCGAAAGTGCATTTTTACTGTGTGTTTTCTATTTGACAGGTGCCTTGTAATTGATGAAGCGGACCGAATGGTTGAGAAAGGTCACTTCTTAGAGCTGTCTCAGTTGCTGGAAGTCTTAAATGATTCACAGTATAACCCTCAACGACAGACTTTTGTTTTTTCTGCCACTTTGACTTTAGTCCATCAGACTCCCACAAGAGTTTTACAGAAGAAGCATGCTAAAAAGATGGACAAGAAGACCAAACTAGAATTGTTAATGGAAAAAGTAGGAATAAAAGGCAAACCCAAAGTGATAGACTTAACGAGGAAAGAGGCTACTGTTGAGACTCTGATGGAAACCAGAATCCACTGTAATACAAACGAGAAGGACTATTATCTCTATTATTTTCTTCTCCAGTATCCAGGAAGAACCATGGTCTTTGCAAACAGCATAGACTGTGTAAAACGCCTCAGTTCTCTCCTCACAATCTTAAATTGCGATCCTCTTCCTTTGCATGCCAACATGCACCAAAAGCAAAGGCTGAAAAACCTGGAAAGGTTTGCTGAGCGAGAGAGGTGAGTTGATGTTTTCCACTTCCTAGCAGAGAAGAAAAGAAATTGTGTAAAGGGTAGTGGGGCGAGGAAACAGCTCTTTTAGAGTGGGAGCTGGATGGGGGAGTTAGCTGGGGATGTGAGTCCTCTGTTCATGAGCCCAGGTTGTCAATGGTTAAGGGTGAGGTTTCACAGGATGGTTGAGGTGATGAACTGGAGCGAGTTCAGTGGAAGGCCACCAAGATGGTCAAGAAGCACTGGCTCTGCAAGGGGAGAGTCTGAGGGCATTGGGTTTATATCACCTGGGAAAAAGGCTTTGTGGGGACCTAATGGCAGCCATCCGGTATCTTAAAAGAAGATTATCAAGAAGATGGAGCTGGGCTCTTACAGTGGTGTATGGTAGGTGGATGAGGGATAACAGGTGCAAGTTTGAAACGAGAAATTCAGGCTGTATGTAAGAAAGAGCTTTTTCTGTGTGAGGACAGTCAGGCATTGGAACAGGCTGCTCGTTCTTGGAGATTTTTGAGGCTCAGTTGGATAAAGCGCTGAGAAACATGGTCCAGCCTTATAGCTAATCCTGCTTTGAGGAGGAGATTGGACTAGAGGCCTCCTGAGGTCGCTTGGAGCCTGAATTATCCTGTGGTCTGACAGCTCATTGCTGCTGAAGGAGCTGTCACTTGCCCTGTTGTCAGCCATATGGTTTTATAACCATCCTGCACACCTCTCTGCCCCTGTGCCCAGGTCCTGCAGCTCATTTGAGCCTTCTGTAATTTGGTTCATCTCACTAAGCCATCAGAAAACTAACCACTTGTTGCTGGGTAGGGGTTTTAGATGAATCACCTTCCTGAGAGTCCAGGTGTCCTAGAGCAGTGTGAGAGGAGGGGCAGTTGAGCCTTTCAGCAGCAGTGGGCAGCTGGGTTTACCCTGGCAGGCCTGTCCTGCCATATTAAGAATTATTGTTTCCTGCTGGCTTTGGGATGGCCTTTGTGAGGAGGCTGGTGGTCTCAGTACTTCCATGATCCAGAAGCCTCACAGTTTAGTTCTGCTGTGAAGTGCTGCGTGCTGTCTGACTGCGTGGGAATTTGTACCTTGGTAATCAGCTCAGTCAGGGAGAGCAGAGGTTGAATTGCTGTGATAGATCTGCAGATCACTTGGCAAAATGTCGTGTGAATGGCATTGGTCTAGGCCAGACGGAGCGTTTTCAGAGACTGCAGATTTTCAATGCAAGAAGAAATCTATGAGACCATCTATCACGGCCTCATGCAGATTGCAAGCTGTGGAATTTTCTCTGTTTATTTCTGCTTTGAACCTTGTAGCAATGGAGTATGCAGTCAGATGCCATAAAATCTTAACAAATTCCCGTTACCTACAAGTAACTCATTTCAGTTGCTGGGAGATTTTTTTAAAAACAAATTGTTCAATACCCTAGGGAGACTTTTGTCTCTGTAGTAGACTGCTTATATAAAAGAATGACTTTTTTGAGTAGTGCTTCATTTCTAGGGGTAAGGAGAAACACTAATTGTCAAAACAGAATCCTCCCCTTTATAATTCTAGCTTTTAATTTACTGAGGGAACTTACTTGAGTGCAACTTGGTAGAAGATATTTCAGCCCCAAAAAGCTGCCAATTAAATCTATGATGTTAATAATGTGATTTTTCTCAGCTGGTGAAACTTGTAATAACCTATCTGTCCTGCCAAAAGATCAACTGTGTTGTTAATGGTCTGGTCATACCAAGCTGAAGATATTTTTTAAACGCAGCCTGGGCAGAGCACTGAGAAATGTAATGAAGGGGAGCACACTCCCCTGCCAAGTGATTGGATTAGGTCATTGAACAGTGAGTTGCGCTAGCGTTCCTGTGAATTGGGAGAGAATAAAAGCATAGGAAAACAGGATCCAGCAAGGTAGTGAATTTCTTTGTTGGAGACAGAGTAGACCTGCTGAAGGTAACATTTGCATTTTTTTCTTTTGCTTTAAGAACTGCTGTTTCAAGACTGCCTCTGATGTAATAATGGGTATAATTTGCTGTAAGGGCAAACAAATGGCCTTTCCAGCAGATGATACGGTACAAATCTGTTCCTTAAATTGCTGTGGTAGAATTCCAGGTCACTGTGTTTTATGTTCCTTGGCAGATGGTTTAGTCTTCAATCTTATGTTTATTAAATGTTATCACTTTCTCAGCTGTGTCCTCCTGACAACAGATGTTGCAGCTCGTGGTCTTGATATTCCCAACGTGCAGCATGTCATCCACTACCAGGTTAAACATTTTTTATGTTTATGCTTTTACTGTTTTGGTTTTGAAATGAGCTTTTGCTGATCCAAACCATGAACACTATAAAGCTGTTATTTTCAGTCCTGTGTATAGTATAATCCTGAGTATTGAGATTTAATCATTATTAATTTAACTCTCCTTAGTGCTTTGTACTTAAGGATCTCATTGCTGCAATGACTGACTGTAGTAGGTAGCACTTCATGAATGTGTCATTATATATCAGGAATGACATAACAGATAAGATTGGGTAAGGAATTGGCTGGATGGTTGCACTCGAAGAGTTGCGGTCAATGGCTCAATGGCCAAGTGGAGACCAGCGGCATGGACAGTGGGATGGAGTGCACCCTCAGCAAGTTTGCTGATGACACCAAGCTGTGTGGTGCGGTCAACATACTGGAGAAAAGGGATGCTATCCAGAGGGACCTTGACAGGCTTGAGTGATGGGCCCCTGTGAACCTCATGAGGTTCAGCAAAGCCAAATGCAGGGTCCTGCACATGTATAGGGGCAATCCCAAGCACAAATACAGGCTGGGTGGAGAATGGATTGAGATCAGCCCTGAGGAGAAGGACTTGAGGGTGTTGGCTGATGAGAAGCTCAATATGACTTGGCAATGTGTGCTCATAGCCCAGAAGGCCAGCCGTATCCTGGGCCACATCAAAAGCAGCGTGGCCAGCAGGTCAAGGGAGGGGATTCTGCCCCTCTGTTCCGCTCTGGTGAGACCTCACCTGGAGTCCTGCATCCAGCTCTGGAACCCGCAGCACAAGAAGGGGATGGACCTGTTGGAGCAGGTCCAGAGGAGGCCACAAAAATGCTTAGAGGGCTGGAACACCTCTCCTGTGAGGAAAGGCTGAGAGAGTTGGGGTTGTTCAGCCTAGAGAGGAGAAGGCTCCAGGGGTGATGGCTTTAAACTGAAAGAGGGTAAGTTTAGATATAAGAAAGAAATTCTTCCCTATGAGGGTTGTGAGGCACTTGAACAGATTGCCCAAGGAAGCTGTGGATGCCGTCTCCCTGGCAGTGCTCCAGGCCAGGTTGGATGGGGCTTTGAGCAACCTGGTCTAGTGGAAGGTGTCCCTGTCACCATTCTGTGATTCTCCTTGCTTTTTGCTTAACTTTGATACCCAGAGGTGTCAAAAGGCTCAGCCCTGTAACTCTTTTCTGAGGACACATACAATTTTTTCCTGCTTTGCAAAGGAAGTGACAGCGGGTCAGAAGTTAGGAGAGACTCACAAAATATTATGCAAGGAAGAATACTGGATCAGAGAACAAGAAAGTGTCTCTAGACTTTTTTAGTTTACCTTCAGCTGTGTTACATGCAGTGTACTATGTGTATCTAAAAAATAATATTCTCTGGTAGCCTCTTGGCAAAAGCATGACAGGCTGCTGCTAGCTTTCCATGGCCATCTTCATGGTTTTTCTGAATATTTGCAGGTCCCTCGTACTTCTGAGTTGTACGTACACAGAAGCGGCAGAACAGCCCGAGCTGCCAATGAAGGCCTTAGCCTGTTGCTGATTGGCCCTGATGACTTGATCAATTTTAGGAAAATTTATAAAACATTGGAGAAGAGTGAAGAGCTGCCATTTTTCCCAGTTGAAACCAAGTGCATGACTTCTATCAAGGTAAAGAAACCACAATCTCTTTGCAGCCTGAGTAGCTGCTTGCTTACTTGTGTGACTGCTTTGCCCATCACGTTCTTTCCAGGGTTCAGATGAAATTTGCTCTTCAGAACCTGGATTTGAAAATGAAGTTAATCACACTATCTTTTTTAAGCAATATTTGTGATTTCTTCTCAATAACTGGCCCAAGTTTATGTTCAAACAGAAATATTACTTACGTTTTTCTCCCACATTGTTATGTAGAGCTGCTGCTCACTAGATTCCCAGAAACAGTACAGGGACCAAGTATGTTTTGTGGCTGGGGAGCTGGGACAGCTCTGTTACAGGTGTTGCTTAAAGCCTCTTGTGTTAGGAACACACTAGAGAGCAATAGCAGGTCCATGGATTTTCAGTGGTATTCATCTGCCTCTTCTCAGTCAAAGTAGTGAGTTATCTGCTTTTCTGAAAATTCCTATACTGTGAGGCCACAGCTGCCACTGAACCCTGTCAAACCAGGTATGTTCCTTTTCTAGGTTATTGCCTGTTTTAAGGAGAATTCAGTCATTCACTAACTCGCAAGATAGACATGGTTAAGATTTACAAATCAATATATTTTAGACAGCATCTAGTCACTGCAGATTTTCTACTTCTCGTATAAGAGGGCGTGTCGTGCCTCAGCATTCACTTAACAGTTTGGGTGACAACAGCCATGTACAAATGGGACATATTTAAATACTGCGTTTGAGAGCAGTCCAGCTGGGGTTGGAGTGTCTGAATGCACAGTCATTGAGAACAGGAGAAAAATGCAAGCAGACAGATAATGCAGCAGATATCTTCCTTATGATATTCTGGTTCATGCTTATCCAGTTGGCTTGGACTGAGCCCAGAGTCCACCCCAGTGGCAACAGCAGTATCCTCACCTTGGGAATAATGTCAGCAAGTTTCAAAGCCAAAGCTTTCTGCAAATGGGGTATTTAGCATGAATCTTTCAGGAGATGCAGCTTTCTGAAAGAGGAAGAAAATCAAAGAAATGCTTCCACAGACTGATTTTGCTTCTCTTGGTAGTGACAAAGAGAATTTCATTCCCCCTCCCCCCCTAATCTTTCCCCCCGCCCCCCTCCACCCACTAAATGTTTCTGGTTCCTGAAGAAAATCTGTTGTTTTTAGAGTGTTTCTTCAGAAATCCCTTCTGTATTTCTTGATAAGTAGTTCTTGGCTCTTATCATGCTCTGTCAATTAATGGGCAAATAAATATTGTTCCCACACTTAAATCTTCCTGCCCCCATCTCACGATCTTCTCTTCTATCCATAATAGTTCTCCTTTCCCCAGAAAAGATGTCTTTGTAATTGTAATTACAGGACTCCAGCCTCCTAGGCCCTTCACATGGTCAGGTCTCATTTACACTTTGCCCTAGGCTTAATCACAAATCTATGGTTGTTGGGACTAATAGTGCTGCTGGTTCTTTATGTCTGTCTCTCTGCCATGCTCCTTCTCTGGTTCTGCATGCCTTCATTCAAGTTCAGGAAAAGTCTTGAAGGTATTTCACAGTTGAGAGGAATAAAATCTGTGAACCAGGGTAGAGGAGAAACCAAAAGAGGACTGAAGTTTTACAAAGGTGGAAAAACTATTTAAAATTTCTTGTAATGATCTAAGGAGAAGTGACTGACTTGTTTTATTAGTCAACTGCAAGTTTAATTGCGTCTCTCTCTGTGTTTTTATTATCCTGGCAGTTCTGACTGGTGCTGTAAGTGTGTAGCACCAGACTATTCCCTTGGGGTGGTCAGGGTGTCCTGCACAGGGTTTGTTTTGTGCAACCGCAGGCATGTTCCAAAGAGCAGAACTCGCTGCTGGGTTGATTATTATTTACTGTCAGTGCAGATTTTCTTTCCATAATGAATTAGTTATTTAAGGCAGCTTGGCCCAGCCTGAAGGCTGCAAGTGAGGTTGGGTTTACTGGACATCTTTGTTCCACCTGCGTGCAGCTGGGAAGAAGGACAGGACATTTTGTCCTGTGCCTGAACAAGATCAGGTGCATTTCTGAAAGCATGAGTAGCTCCTTCTGTACGGCCTGCAGGGGCTTACTTCAGAGTGGGACGAAGCTAGCGGCTGCCCCTTATTGCTGAGGCTCGTAACTTTAAGATCTAGTTGTACTATGTAAATGTGTAACTTAGAAGTGATTGGTATCTGCATCATGATTTGTCCTTGATGCTCCTGAATTGTTTGTAATGATTCGTTTAAAGAATGAGGAGTTAACATTCAGGCGTGTTTAGTAGTTGAGATGTTTTAGAAGTCAGAGTCTACTATGGATCTGAAGAAGGAAAACACTTCAACAAATGCTGACATGTCTTTATTTTGGGGGGGGTCTGCTGGGACAGCAGGAGGGAACAAAAGTGTCTCTGCACCTCAGTTGCATTGTAATGCATGCTTTCAAACACTGATTCTGCTAAAGTGCGCCACATGTAAGCCTGATTATAATGTCTAAAATGTACTTTTGTTGCAGGAGCGGATGAATTTGGCACGGGAGATTGAAAAGGCGGAATTTTTCAACAGTCGGGCAAAGCAACACAACTCCTGGCTCCAGCAAGCTGCAGAGGCTCTTGAGATTGATCTCGATGATGACATGTTTATGGGCAAGTAGAAGTGCTTGTTTATGGGTATGCTCAGTTGGTCCCGTAACACTGATGGCCAGAAGCAGCCCCACCATGGCAGAGGGACTTTTAAAACCTGCAGGGCAGAAGGGGAAGGAAAGGAGTGCCATTACTTAGTGCATGGTGTTGCTGGTGTTTTCAGGATGGTTGTGCAGTAGATAGCACTGGAGCAGAGGGAGTGAGGTGTGACTATTCTGGCAAGTTGCAGACAAGTCCACCTGTCACAGGACAAGAACTGTTTAGCTTCTGGCAAACATTTTAGGGTAATTTAAAAGCCCAGTATGTCCTGCTTGAGTCTTGTCGCCTCTGTGTCAAAGAAAAAGCTGTTTCTCCACTTCTGCTTATCTCTCCTACCTCCCTGTAGTCAGGCAGCAGGACAGGAGCCTGACAGCTCTGTGTGGGAACACCTAGCAAAAACCAAAAATTATGTGACCTTTGTGTGGGTTAAATGGCCAATACTTATATTCAAGTTGCTGAGGTTTTTCATGGTGTGTTAAAAGTAAGTAATTTATTACATTTTTTAAATTAAATGTTCTGCAGGCTGTGCCTGAGGAAATGTGTAGGGCTGTACAACTACAGGTGCCTGTTAGTTCAATGCCATGCAGCTTTGCACTGCTTAGATGCACTGTAAAATGCCACGTTGTGTTTGAATTTTAGGAGCTGAAGGTATGCTTTCCTACCAGTTCTTTGAAGGCATGCTGAACAGGGCTCACTTCAGCTTAAGCTGTCTCTAACCAGTTAGCTGCTGAATATGCAGATGCCTTAATTTTGAAGCATGCGCAGATGAATTTTTTTACTTCCTTTATTCGTGGCTGCACTAGCTTGTTCTCAACCAGTTTGCAAGCAAGCAGTCATCGTCTCTGTCCAAACTGTTCAGGAGCGCTCTCAGATAAATAACACTCAGCTGTTTTGTTTTGACATAATCTGAGTATGCTGTGCTTTGAAATGAGTTTCAAAACAGCACATCCCGTCCCAACTAAGTTGTGGCTCTCGAGTGAAGCACTTTCTAATTGCCACCCAGAATCTTGCCAGATCCATGCTTTGAAATACATTCAGTCTCCAGTTCTTCCGTGGCTTGTTGGAGACCAATTAAAATCTCAGTCGTTCCTCCGATAAATGAAATGCCTCTTACACTGTTACAAATGGTTTAGTAATGTCCTTTCAGTTTGCGTTACAGAAACCTTGATTTCGTTTAGTCTCTCCAGTTCAGGCCTCTGAGCCTATTAACTATCTCCCATCTTTTCTATGCCCTTCTTTCTCCTATGTTATTAAATTTGAGCACCTCAATGTTTCTAATGTATAAGGAGGAAAGGGATTCCTGTTTTACAGGTGTTGAAATGAGGCACACATACAGTAACGAAATGCACAGAAGAAGCTTCTGCCTGAGCTAGAAGCCCTGGGTTAACACCTTACCTTCTGGGCCCCCTTTGCTTTTGTTCCCGAGTCTGTTCTGGGTTGAGAGCCAACTGAGTGATTCACCAGAATGATACTTGGCCTATAGTTACTTAGTAGTCAGGATTCTGCATGATCTTGCTATCTTGTGGGGAGCCTGGGTGATGTGAAAGTGTCACAGATGACTGGAAGACTGTATAGGAGTTGAGTGACCTCGTTAGAGAGAGAAAGTTGAAATTAGCATCTGCCCCTAGCACTGCAAAAGCCAGGTGGAAAGAGGCCAGTGCAAGTTCTTCTCTTGTTGTAACATTCTATATCTTTGATTTCTGCCCCAAGGAAGAAAACCTAGTGAGCAAGAAGAAAGCCAGAAGCAGAAGATGCTGAAGGGGATGAAAAAACAACTAAAACATATGTTGTCCCAGCCGCTGTTTAAAGTCCTTATGAAAACCAAATACCCAACACAGTCTGGAAAACTACTGCCGCCTCAGACATCAGTGGGCATTTCAGAATCTGCTCTGGGTACCGTGTCCAAACAACAAGCCAAGAAGAAGAAATCAATGAAATTAAATTAGATAACTGAGCAAGATCACTCAGTGTGACGGAAGCAAGGACAATACTTATCAAGGCTGTCAGTGCTTATGGAGGAACTCAGCTAGAAGACACGTAGTATCAAGAGGATGTTGCCTGTGTCTTGGTTGTGCAGGCACAAAGCAAAATGTTGATTTAAAGGGCTATGCTAACATGCGGTTAGTTACTGTTGAGTCTTGTCCTGGATCTTGTTTTCTTACGTTCTTACTTAGTTTTTCTTACTCTCTGTATTAATAGAAGTTAATGAGTTTTGAAATATCTTTGTTTGTTACTCCTTTTTGTGAGATGAGTAAAAGTTACTGGGTGAAATTTACAGTGGGCATACTCTAATAATAAAACTTGATTTGAATTTTAATGGCCTGAAAGGACAGGGGAAGGTAGGCTGTATACAGTCCGAGTACAGTCTGAGTGGGTGATAGTGGGAGATTTGGCTTTTACTGCAGCCAGTTCAGTGGGAAAGGCAGCAAATATAGGTAGTGTTACCAGCAAGTCTGCAATTCTGGTTATGGAAATCTCTCCCAATATTCTTTCTCCTTTGATAAGATTTCTTGGTTCTGTTCTCTGCTGGGTCTAACTCCCTTACTCCTGTGTTAAAATGTTTTAGAATGTGCAAAAAAAGTCAAAGTGGCAATGGGCCAGGACTGACCTTGGGAAGTGTGTAGATTTTTGAGGAATAAGTGTTGCTACTCAGTGTTTTATTAATTAATATTTGGAGCTAAGTCTGTATTTAAAACATGTTAGAACCCTGAGCTTTGCTTTAATGGAAAAGATGATGATGTTGTGAAATGTCATTTTTGAAGAGTGCTGCCTGGTAGTCATGCTTTTAAATCATTTTAACCTAACCTGGGCAAATATTTTTTAAAACCATTTCTACAAATATGTGAGAAAAATATATTTTGAATTTTTATTAGATTATATCAGCTGCGAAACCCAAAGTCTGCGTCTGTTTTCAATCACATGAGATTTCTAAATTGCTAGTAGCTGATGCCCTGTGCACTTAGCAGGCAAGGAGAGGGGAAAAGCACCCAAAAGGCAAGACACAGCGGTGGGATCTCTATTGATGGGAGCACAGGGAACTTTCACCTGCCATCGCTAGATTGGGCTGAGTTTTTGTCTTGTACAGCATAGAACCAGTGTCACTGCCGTGACAGAAGGTGCCGATTTACTCAGCTAGTTAAAAAGAAATTTGTTAGTGGAGTTGTATGCCCCCTCCAGCCACTTACCAGTTATGTGAGAATAGCAAACTCTTTACTCCTTCATGTATGTAAATAATTGAACACACACACACGCACACCCCGCCCCAGTCTTTGGAGGGCTTGTCTCTTGCTTCCTGCCTTACTGAAGAAGAGCTGTGACAGTTTATGAAGCTTTCCTTGCAAGGCACTGGTTATTTCACACCCTGCAGAGCAGAGGGGGGAAGTTTTTTGGGGGCGGGAGGAGATGGTAAGATCTGTGTCCTCACCTGTGTGAGAAGATGACACATCTTTTGAGTTAATGTGATACCTGAAAAATAAAACCAAGAATTAAAAGAAAGTTCCTTGTAAGGAAAACTGAAAAAAGGAACTGTGCAAAGGCAAGCATGCCTTCATTCCTTTTCTGTGCCATTTTAATCACATTCTTACATTATGGAAAGGAAATTTGCATTGGTTTTGCATCCCTGAAGGTACTGAAGACCAGGTGGGCCTTTTCTGCATCTTGTGATGTATTTCTGCTTACAATTCATCAGCAAAATCAAGGCTGGATCCTGACACCGGCTCTGCACCTCCTCCCTTGTCTGAAAACCTGCATAAGGTAAGACAGTTTTGGCAGTTTCCAATTCCATGTGATCATGAGGAGAACTGAGTTGGGGACAGTGAGAGTATTGTTATTTCATCTCCATTGCTGCTGTGAGGTTTCTCGGCTGCTTCTGTTTACCTGCATTCAACAACCTAGTTCTCACACTCCCACCCCTCCATCTGGCCCTTGGCCCACCGTCTTGCTAAGATTCCCCAAGACGGAGCATGACTCTTCTGCCCTCCTCGCCATCTTCATGCTTGCCTGTGGCATGCTCTGTTGCTGGTTTTCTCCTGCAGCCTCCGATATGCTCAACAGGAGCTCTTAATGCGTAATCTGCTGATGCTGCACCCCCACAGGAGCTCAAGTGGAGTCCGGACCCTAAAAATATCTCAGTGTCTTAAAAAGAATACTTGTCTAGCACTCTGAAAGCTCCCTCGTGGCTGCCTGCTTTGCTGTGTCCTTATCTTGCCAGGATACCCCGAGTCTTCTACCTAGAGGAAAAACCTTATACTTGCTTTAGCTAATTTAAACAAATTATTAAACAGTAACTAGAAAATATTACCACTTAGATGCCCTCCTCCAGTGTGAACTAGGTTACTGCAGGAAGAGAGGAAGGCAAAGGAGAATGTTTTCTCCAGCTCTAATTATTTGCATGTGTGTCACAGTGTAAACTAGACGTGAAGAGTTTTACATCAAGTACATATGGGCAATTTAATTTTAGTATTTAATGAAATACGTAGTATCAAATGATTTCTGTAATGCTCTACTGGCACAGCAGTTATGCTAAGGCCTCAAACAAGTACTCGGGTGTAGCGGCAGCTGATGTCTGCTGAAATACCCATTAATTAAAGGACTAATTAAGTCTATTTAGGATGTCACAGCAGCTTCCAAGTAGACTAATAAAAGGGTGAGTTCAGCAGAGTGTTGGTATGGGCCAAGCTGATACAGAGCAACCGGTACTACATAACAGAAAATTGAAACCCTAATAGCTTCTGAGCCTTCATTTTTATTTTGTGAATATGTGGGGCCAGTTGACCTCATCCTTGCTGCAGTGTTCTTGGTCTGCCATACACCTATCAAGAGAAGGAAGAGTCCCTGTAGTTTAAGACATCTGCTGAGGAGATAGCTTGGACAGGATCTCACATATTGGACAGCAAAGTTTCCTGACATTCCCCATGCCTTCTCTTTCTTTCCCACCCCATATGTTAATAAAAGAGCAAGTTAGCAAAGCAGAAGCTGGAGCACTGCCTTGCCATATGCCGGCAGCCAAGGCACGTGGCTGGCCATGTGGCATAGGGGACGTAATTTGCATCTTAGTGAGAAAGGGCAGGGTACTACAGTCAATCTGTGTATCCTCGAAAAGGGGAAAGGGGTCTTTGCTCAGGAGCTTGCAGGGCTCTTTGACAGGGCTTTAAACTAGATGTGAAGGGGGAAGGGGAATATATATCAGGCAGACCCTGGGAACTACTGACCTGTCAGCCTCACCTCTGTGTCTGGGAAGATCATCAAACATCCTAGAAGCCACGCTAAGGCACATGGAGGACAGGGAGATGATTTGAGACAGCCAGCACGGCTTCACTAAGGGCAAGTTCTGCCTGACCAACCTAGTGGCTTTCTATGATGGCGTGACTACATCAGTGGACAAGGGAGAAGCCATGGATGTCATCTATCTGGACTACTGTAAAGCCTTTGACATGGTCCCCCACAACATCCTTCTCTCTGAATTGGGGTGATGTGAATTTGATGGGTGGACTGTTCGGTGGATAAGGAATTGTCTGGATGGTCACAGCCAGAGGGTAATGGTCAACGGCTCAATGTCCAAATGGAGATCAGTGACAAGTGGTGTCCCTCAGGGGTCCGTACTGGGACCAGTGCTGTTTAATATTTTCATTAATGACATAGGCAGCAAGATCAAGTGCACCCCCAGCAAATTTGCAGATGACACCAAGCTGAGTGGTGCAGCTGACATGCCCGAAGGATGGAATATCATCCAAAAAGACCTATATAAGCTCAAGGGGCCTGTGTGAACCTCATGTGGTTCAACAAGGCCAAGTGCAAGGTCCTAAGCCAAGAAGAAGAAATCAATGAAATTAAATTAGATAACTGAGCAAGATCACTCAGTGTGACGGAAGCAAGGACAATACTTATCAAGGCTGTCAGTGCTTATGGAGGAACTCAGCTAGAAGACACGTAGTATCAAGAGGATGTTGCCTGTGTCTTGGTTGTGCAGGCACAAAGCAAAATGTTGATTTAAAGGGCTATGCTAACATGCGGTTAGTTACTGTTGAGTCTTGTCCTGGATCTTGTTTTCTTACGTTCTTACTTAGTTTTTCTTACTCTCTGTATTAATAGAAGTTAATGAGTTTTGAAATATCTTTGTTTGTTACTCCTTTTTGTGAGATGAGTAAAAGTTACTGGGTGAAATTTACAGTGGGCATACTCTAATAATAAAACTTGATTTGAATTTTAATGGCCTGAAAGGACAGGGGAAGGTAGGCTGTATACAGTCCGAGTACAGTCTGAGTGGGTGATAGTGGGAGATTTGGCTTTTACTGCAGCCAGTTCAGTGGGAAAGGCAGCAAATATAGGTAGTGTTACCAGCAAGTCTGCAATTCTGGTTATGGAAATCTCTCCCAATATTCTTTCTCCTTTGATAAGATTTCTTGGTTCTGTTCTCTGCTGGGTCTAACTCCCTTACTCCTGTGTTAAAATGTTTTAGAATGTGCAAAAAAAGTCAAAGTGGCAATGGGCCAGGACTGACCTTGGGAAGTGTGTAGATTTTTGAGGAATAAGTGTTGCTACTCAGTGTTTTATTAATTAATATTTGGAGCTAAGTCTGTATTTAAAACATGTTAGAACCCTGAGCTTTGCTTTAATGGAAAAGATGATGATGTTGTGAAATGTCATTTTTGAAGAGTGCTGCCTGGTAGTCATGCTTTTAAATCATTTTAACCTAACCTGGGCAAATATTTTTTAAAACCATTTCTACAAATATGTGAGAAAAATATATTTTGAATTTTTATTAGATTATATCAGCTGCGAAACCCAAAGTCTGCGTCTGTTTTCAATCACATGAGATTTCTAAATTGCTAGTAGCTGATGCCCTGTGCACTTAGCAGGCAAGGAGAGGGGAAAAGCACCCAAAAGGCAAGACACAGCGGTGGGATCTCTATTGATGGGAGCACAGGGAACTTTCACCTGCCATCGC